CATTTATATTATACTAATTTTCTTATACACTTAAAGATATAATTAACTTTATATTATTTTTCTAAAATAGTTGAAATATATGGATCAAAAGAAAGTTGTTATTTTTGTATGAAGGGTCAAGTCAAGGAGATAAGTCTTGTGCCGTTGATGACATCGTAGAGAACTTGAATCTCCTTAGAGATAACGAGATACGCATACCTCAATGGTATTTGTTGTTGTATCACTAAAATTTTGATATTTCATTAGAAAATTTTAGTGAAGAGATACCTAAAGAAATAATCAAGTTGGGACAATAGATCTAAACTCAATATATACATACACTACATCAACTATGAAATAATATATCTATACAGATTGACTATGCCCTTGTTCGGTCCCCTATTATAATGAGAATTTGGAAAAAAAAAAATGTATTTTGGAATAGTAATTTTTTTGAAAATTGTGTGATTAAAAAAGAATGAAATGTTTTTGGTTTACATGTAATATTATTTTATTGAAAAATGTGTAATTAATAAGAAGAGAATAAATAATGAATAATATTTTTAATGAGAACCAGACATGTGCTAAATCTATCGAATATATCTCTTAGAAGGTTTTCTCGCTACTTTCTCAAAAGTAATTGAATAATTGATCAGCCAAAACATTCACGTGTATCTAATTCTATTAATTAATTTTTTTAGGTTACAGCCAGCTCGCATATTTTATCGTGGGAGCAAATCGTACACTCTATGATGTAATAATTAACACGTCATCATGTACCCACCCATAATGTAATGGGTTAATTTCACAAACGGTCGCTGAAATTACTTGAAAATCACAAAACGGTCACTAAAGTTTAAAACTTGAAGAAACGGTCGCTGAAGTTTAAGTTTCTTTCACAAACGGTCACTGAATTTTCAGATTTTTTGGGCAAGTTTTTCGACGATTTTCATTTTAACTTCCGACCACTAAAACCGTCGAATTTGGATACCGTTGGAAAGCTTACAATATCCTCTTCAATTACCACTGAAAATCTCCCCATAACTCCAAAGGATTCGGTCGAAATATCCCCACGAAGTCGGCTACCGAAAAATCTGAAAATCTGCCCAGATTTTTTAGGCGATTTTGGGCAATTTTTCAGCAACTTTCGACAACCAAGACCGCCGAATTTAGATACCGTAGGAAAATCCACAATGTCCTCTTCAATTACTACTAAAAATCTCCCCATAACTCCAAGGGATTCGACCGAAATATACCCACGAAGTCGACTACCGAAAAATCTGAAAATCTGCCCAGATTTTCAGATTTTTTGGACGAGTTTGCGGCAATCTTCTTGCAACTTCCAACCACCAATACCGCCGATTTTGGATACCATTGGAAATCCCACAACGTCATCTCCAATTGCCACGAAAAACCTCCTCATAACTCTAACGGATTCGACCGAAATAAACCCACGAGGTCAACAACCCAAACAGGACATATTTCAGATTTTTTTTGGTAGCTGACTTCGTGGGTTTATTCCGACTGAATCCCTTGNTGAGTTTTTTCGTTAGCTGACTTCTTGGGTTTATTTCGGCCTAATCCGTTCGATTTATGGGGATATTTTTTCTGCTAATTGAAGAGGATATTGTGGGCTTTCCAACGATATCTGAAACCTGTGGTATTTGTGGTCGGAAGTTGCTGAAAAATTACCTCAAAATCGCCCAAAAATCTAAATATTTGGGCAGATTTTCAGATTTTTCGGTAGCCGACTTCGTAGGGGTATTTCGACCGAATCCTTTGGAGTTATGGGGAAATTTTTAGTTGTAATTGAAGAGGATATTGTGGGCTTTCCAACAGTATTTAAATTCGACAGTCTTGGTGGTCGGAAGTTAAAATGAGAATCACCGCAAAACGTGCCCAAAAAATTTGAAAATTCAGTGACCGTTAGTAAAAGAAATTTAAATTTCAGTGACCGTTTCTTCAAGTTTTAAACTTCAGTGACCGTTTTGTGATTTTCAGGTAACTTCAGTGACCGTTTGTGAAATTAACCCATAATGTAATAATTAACACGTCATCATGATACACATCTTATGCTATCTTGGAATTCTCGAGTGCTGCTGACTACCTCGTCTATGCATATGCATACGCCCATCCGCCACCATCCATCGACCGCCTCTCTTTTGCATATTTTCTGCAATATTTGGAGACTTCTTCAAAAATAAAATCAATGCTTCGATTATTAGTGCCATTAATCTGTACTACTGCTATGGCTATAAAATGATTGGATCCGGATTCGTATTCGGATAGATACATAAGTATAACTGACCGTCAATATGTCATTGGTTTTGTGTGGGACATATTGCATCTACACTACACGTATGGTCTTATGTTCGCTCTATCTAGGTTAATTTTTGACAAGTTAGTGGGACGGAGATCATTTCACGTAGTTCTTGAGCATCAAGTAATGGTTTCGCTATTTGCTTCCATCTTCACTACAATTGGCGTCATTGTGAACAATGACTTCCAATGGATGGCGACTGAAGCAAAAACATTTCAAGGTCCTCAAATTTAGTATTTGTTAGATTTTTAGTTGTATTAGCAATTTTTTTAGACAAAAGGATTATTGTAAAAAATTAGGATTGTTACAGAAAGTTGTAAAAGTCTAGAAGTATTTTAGAGTATTGTATAAATGAATTAGAAGT